TGCAGCATACCGCTAGGGTGAATACCAAACTCGGTGTGTATTCTGCTTCATTGAAGGTGGAGAATTGACCATTACCCGATGAGCGCCACTCATTGGGGTCGTGAATATGTCCACAGCGAACGGCCGGAAGGGAGGCGAGCTCGGGAATGTTGTGGCGAAACTTTTGAGCTTTGCGCCGAGCACCCCCGAAGACGCAAGCATCGTAGTCCAGATCCTGCCAGTCACCCTCCTGGCACATGAACTGCTCGACTGGGTCCCACCAGCGCAGCGACCTGAGCGGGTTCTCGCGAAGACATGCGATGTTCTGTTGGTGCCCCCAGTGCTGTAGGGCCAAGAGGTAGTCACTGGAATAGTTGTCAGCATCGACTCGGGCCTGTTGTCCCGCGTCCAGTCCGGTTAGACCCCTTGGGTATTGCCAGGGCCAAGAAGTAGGTATCCATCTTGGCCATATAGGACAGCCAGGACTTGGCGGTGATCTCGTCCTCATCGTCCTCCTGGAGGTACAGGTTGCCGGTCAGGCGCCGACGCTTCTGACTGTGAGTGCGTTGAAAAGTGAGCGAGCGGACCGTCCACAGGTCCATGACCTCAAATTGGCTCCGAGTCAACTGTCGGCTGAGCTTGGACAGAAGTCGGTCAGAGGGATACTGGCGAGGTTCTGGACGCAAGTGGTAGCGCCGAAAGAAGGCCTCTTTCAAGTGCTCGAGCTCCTGCTTGGGAAGCAGCGTCTCTTCTTCCGTTGGAGCTGGAGGTAGGCTGGCCGCCGCGTGCTCGGGGTCCAGCAAGGCCTTGCACGCCGTCCAAGCGAAGCGCAGCCTGGCAGCCTGGAGGCGCCCCTGCATCTCCTCATAGGCAGGGTCCTTGATTGTATCAATGAAGAGCTTTTTGATTTCGTCCTCACGACGAGCATAGTGGCGAAACTCCGCAATGGTGCGGATGCCAAGCTCAATGATCTTGTCTTTGATGCGCTGCTCAAAGTTGAACTGCAACGCAAGGGCCGTGAAGGTGTCCTCCGGAGTAGCGAGCTGCTTGGGGACGGTGGCCATGATGCACAAACGAAGATGGCGGGATCAACGATGGAAAGCAAAGATGGCTGCGGGAATCATATACATGATAATGGGCGGAGGCTGCCCAGACAACAAGTTGATCCTGCAAGCGGGCAGTTGATTGTAACACAGCACAAGTGTGAACTCCTTTTCAAAAACTCAAAGATGTTCATAGCGTAACTACTGAAGACGCTTCGCAAGCTCCCCGAGCTCCAAGCTCAGACATTGCAGCGCTGGCCAGCCGATAGCGTCGCCTGCCGCATAGGCCTCATAGTGGGCGGTGTAGAGCAACTGACGGAACGCAGCGCGCTCAGCTTCAGGGAGATTATCATGATGGCGCGCCAAATCATCACATGTAGTGTGGACCAAGGGGGCATAGGGAGGCAAAGTACCAGGTCTTGGGGCCACCGGCCACAACAGCCCTTCCAGCCGAGGCTCTGGGCGTGCTGCCTCCCTGGGCAGGTCTTGGATCTCATCCCACCATTCGATCCAGGATTCACATAGGTTCTTTGCAGCGCGCAACTGAACCTGTCCCACCCCTAGACAAGAGGTGGAGGTCGGGGGAAGGGCCCGCAAGGCCCGGCAGGCCTGGTCCATTTGATCCCCCACCTCCCAAGCACGGGCCCGTCTGGCCTCGCCCTCCAAGGGCGCCAGTGTCACGGCAACGAACTGGATCGCCTGAGGCCGGTCCATTGGCACAAGGTGTGGGTGCGCAGTACGAAGTTCACTGAGGACACGAGAAGCTGCAGCAAAATGGCGGAAACGGAATGTAAACCTTATTCGACATTCGGAAAAAGGGGCCTACCTGTCTGGCCGACCGCCGAGTCCCTGGATGAGGCCAAAAATTCTTGCTTAGCACTCGAGACGCCCTCTCAGCCTACGTGCTGTTTCTGAAGGACGGCAGCTATTAGTACAAGTGGACCTGGGCATTGCCAGGAAGCACTGCTTTACATGTGATACAGAAATCGCGCCCGTAGGCCAAGGCCTCATGGATGCTGCGAGCTCGGTGGACTTCGCCTCGATAAGCAGCATTGCGTTGGCGCCATCTGCACCAGGGCGCGGTGTCACGCTCCACATGCCAGTGCGAGCCTGCTTTCGTTGAGGTAATAAACGAGATTGGGTACCTCGGCAGGGACGGTGGCGTGATGTTGACCTGACCTCGAGCCCATTTGAAGATGTCAGGGCCTCCACGCCGAGCGAGCACACCGGCTCGGTCGATAGCCCGCAAGCCTTCCAGGCGGGAATACGCTTCCTCGAAGGAGCACCTCCTGATCCATGCGAGGAGCAGGCCAGCCAGCACAGGGGCCCTGTGCACCCCTGCCATGCAGTGAACCAAGACGGAGTAGCCCGAATACAGAGTCGCCAAGAAGATAGGCAGCACCAACTTCAGCTGGCGGTCACGAAGGGCTCCCCGGTGGCCAACAGGAACATTGAATTGGTAGACCTGGCGGACGCCGACCCCTCCCCGACAGTCAGCGGCGATTTTGTCCATGGCGCTGAGGCTCATGCCGATGTTGTGGGCCTCCAACCATGCCCGGTCAGTGGGCAGTCCGCCCAAATAGATGGATCCGTTGCCAGCTTCACCCATGAAGATGAGCGTGGGAGGCTCTGGAGCACCGCTGTGCCCGGGCCGGCGCCAGCGCTCCCGTGCTGCTGCATCAAAGGTGCTGGGCCGGACTGGCCCTGCGAACGATGGAGTAGGTCGTGGCCGCAACGGTGGAGATGTGGTAGGTCGCGGTGCAGCTTGCGAAACTTGTTCTCGACGAACAATGTCCCGCACCAAGGCCCCCGCGCCAAGCTCCGCCTCGCGGCGCGCCTGGTCCCAGGCATCTGCCACAGCGCGGCCCTGCTTCAGCGCCTCTTCGTACGTAACGAAGTAAAACGCGAGATCCGAGGGCCGCTCAATGCCATGCGCAGCGCACCACCGCTCCAGCTTCTGCTGTTCAGCAGAGCGGCGGATTTGGGCGTCAGCGCTCTCCATGGCGTCAAAAACCAGGAAGAAAAGTTTAGCTTGAGGTACCAGCAGCGACACTGCTCCTCAAGGGGCGTCTCCCCAGTTTGGCTTGAGCATTCAAACATTGGGAGACGTTGATTTGAAGCTTCCCAAATAATTCATCATCACCGACCCTGCCTACCTTAAATGATTGAATAAACAGTTCAAGTTTGGTTTGATGAATCTATGTCAGGAAAAAATGTAAACAGTACAAATTTGGTTTGATGAATCGATGTCAGGAAAAAATGTAAACAGTTCAAGTTTGGTTTGA